GCTGTCAATAAGTTAAGTGGGACTGCCCTAAACTTTGCTTACCTCTGCCACTCGAGAAATTTCTTCGGCGTTAATTATCAGTGTTGCAAGCTTGATGACCGAACTATTCGCTATAAAATTGAAATGTCGTACAAACACTTTATTTTCAACATATGAAAATAAAACTTAATTTATCAAAATGTCTATGTAATTTTAAATATATTTTTGTTTGTAATGGGGCCTCTTCCAAGGTATTCCTTGCGCAACGGTGAAAGAAACTTCTCGGCTATCCACCGTTTCGCCATTTTTAACGGCCAATATTCTTAATTAAAAAAATAGTAATATATTTATAGTTGAGATTAAGTTTACGACTAGAAAGCAAATGTTCAGTGATCACGAGGGTAAAAACTGGCAGCAATCACCGAATGGTGAGAGGCACACTGAACCTAAATGTTAAGTTCCAACGTAGGTCATGTATATATATATATATATATGTATATATATATATATATATATATATATATATATATATATATATATATATGAATATGACACCTGAAAGTATGGGGTTGGAACTATGTTCTGCAAGGCCCTCGACGTAGAACACAAAACCTCTCCAATCACAATTTTAATCTCAGGGTAGTTACATGGGAAATGAAGCAGCAGTCTTCAACAGATTTGTCAGCATACAGGAAATTGCTTCAACACAGCTCGTATTGGAAAAGCAATCGAGAGGAAACAAAGCTCCAAATTCTTTGCAAGAGATGTGTCTGCCAGAAAGAGCTTAATGTCAAATCTGAAGACCGAATGTGGCTGACTTGTTACAACGGGACAAAGAATATTTTGAGTGAGATTAAAAGGTTCTATGAACAGCTGTACATGCCATCATTTCAGTCACACGCAAGTGTGAATTATCGATCCAAGAGCAAGTCTTATCTGAAACCATTCCAATTATATCCCGGACAACAGTCAGAGCGAGAGTAGAATTGCTCTCCAGCACCATAAAAGCGAGAACGGAGTTACAGCAGAGCTTCTGACAGCTTGTGGTAAACCGGTACTTGAAGCGATTCAGAAGCTCTTCAATTCTGTCCTCCATAGTGGCACTACTCTGGACGCGTAGAGCAGAAATGCGATGGTCTCATTATTCAAGATAGATAACAACGCTCTCTGGACGAACTATGGACCGATTTCTTTTCTGAGCCGCTTTTACGTGATGTAACATACTCGACGACTTTTATCCTTCCGAACAAGCCGGTTTTTGAAATATCTTAAGCACCATAGACGTATTCTATATCATACCATGAGTATATGATAGTTGTGAAAAAAATACGGAGGAAGTTTTTTTAAACTTAATAAACAGAATTAATCTGTCGTCGATGTAGATAATTTAATATCAATCTCTTTGAAACATCGTCCATGCGTAATAAGTTTAGATCGTTACTGAAATCATACAATCTTGTTAATACCTAGTGCAACTTGTGTAGATAATATTTTACTGATGTTGATCTCTGTTATAAATGAATTATTCAAAATTTAAGTTCTGATCACTGTGAACAGTTTGTTTCACTACCTCACATACACAAAACACAGAAATTTAAGAAAGGTGTGCTTGTTACAATAACTGAACATCACTTAGAGAGATTTAGAAATAATATAGTAAAAAGATGCAATTTCTTCCATATAAAATAATACTAACAATGTAAGTTGATCAATATTTAACCTCGTAAGTCTTTAATTTAATAAGATATTTAATTCTAAGAGACTCTATTTAAACAGTCACAAATCGTTTAATGAGTTGGCGACAGTAAGAATCCATAGGAATTCACAAAAGTTATATTCCCTTTACAATGAAAAATCATATAATCATAGTGTTTTATTTAGAGAATATGTACAAAAATACTCCAAAATATTTAAAAACGAGTGTTTTACAGTCGTCTTTATATTTTAGATATAAAATTGAGAATACCTCGAATAAATTTAACATCACTTGGTGGAGTATAATCAATAGCAAAACTAGCAAGATTAAAATATACACAAATCAAAGTTTGAATAAAATTTTAATAATAATTTAACATAATCAGATCAAGATGTTGCTACAGCTTTTGAAAAACATTTTAACGACATTCTGATCATGACTACAAAGTTACTGAATTCTTCCCCTATTGTGGCCGAGGCACTATTATTTAAACAAAATGTAAATGTTTGTAAAAAAAGAATATGCATTTCATAAAATATTATTAGAAGGTATTGCAAGATATTTAAAACTATTGATGTTAAGAAAACAGCTAATCTATGATGGATTTTTGTTTAAGTTACTGCGTCTATAATAGATGTAAAACCACCCCAACTTGCTATTATTTTTAATACTAACATCGAATCTGGTATGGTTCCTTATTAATTGAAGCATAGTAAATTGACACCTTTATTTCAACCTGGTTGACATTGGCCCCACTAATTTTAGACCTATATCTGTACTGCAAACACTCTAACTAAATAAATTACTACACAAAAATCAGTTGGTGCTTTTACAAGAAGTCGCTAGACACGACCGAAATGTATTAAATTCAACACACCTAACGTTAAGCACATGAAAACCAGTGTGATTTTAAATGGGGGAGGTGAGCATTGTTAAATCCACTGTTTTTCTCGGAATTTCAGTTGACGCAAAGCTTCAATGGGGCCCTAATATATCTAGACTAACTGGCAAACCTAATTCTGGAGCATATGCTCTAAAAAAACTAATGGGGTATTGCGACTGACATTGAAACTATCTTTGTATTGCAAAAGTTAGCCAGAACCATAGTACGAAACCAATCTAATTGTAGAGGTGTGTAAAACAGGTTGACGTTATATCCACGAAACTCTTCACTGCTGCATTGGAAGACGTTTTCAAGCTACTGGGCTGGAAATGATATTGTATTAACATCAATAGTGAGTACATCATTCAACTTCGATTTGCCAACGATATAGTCCTTATTGCAGAATCGCTGAAGGAACTAAGCACTGTGGCCAATGACCTCAATAAAGCCTCCCAACAGATATGTCTTAAGATGAACATGGACATAACATGTTTAACGTCCATGTCACACCTATGCCAGTAGTTATTGGGAGCACTAAGCTCGAAGTTGGTGACGAGTATGTTTAACTTGGACAATTAGTCCGACTAGCTACGTCTTCACCTCGGCTGGGTAGCGTTCGGGAGATTACGACACATCTTTTCGTCAGATACACCTCAAAACTTGAAAACAAAATTGTATGACAGGTACGTGCTGTCAGTGATAACTTATGGATCTGAAACGTAGCCTTTTACTGCCAGCCTTATGGGGAAGCTTAAGGTCAAGGTGAGCTATAAAAAGGCTACGTTTGGGGTTTCTCTGCGTGATAAACTTAGAAATGAGCATATCTGTAACAGAATCAGAGTATCTGGCATATCCCAACAGATTAGTAAGCTGAAGTGACAATGAGCCGGCCGTATAGCTTGAAGAACTGACAATCGATGAGTAAAAAATGTACTCGATTAGCAGCCTCGTACCGGTAGGCGAAGTGCAGAAATGGAGGAAGTGAAGCCGCCACAGAAATTTTACTTCCGGTATTAATCGAGATGGTTATATAGGGATGTAGTTTTTTAGCCTTCTTAATGGCACATGGGTAACTTGGGTATGAAGGAAAAATAGCTAGAATTAAATAGGGTGTTGGATTTTCTAACATAACTACCAAAACGCCAATCACTGTATAAAATATTTTCAAAATTAGATTTGAGTGTTCGTATGACAAATAGCTTTGATTATAGTGTAACACGAGATTAGCTCGCTTATTATTTTAGTTGTATGTTTTCAATATACATGAAAAAAATGGGTTTATAACGGACGAAAATGCTTTTAAAATAACAATTAGCAACCGAAATAATTTCAGTTGCTAATTGTTATTTTAAATACATCAATGACATGAGAAATTACTGAAGTACACCAATGATATGAGAACTAATAATGACTACCTTGTACTGGAGGTGTTAGTATATCCACTACCATTATCGTTCTTAGTCGTCGTAAGAAGAGACAGAGGAAAACTGAAACAGGAGATAGGCAATAGAACCTACCCGATAACAATTAAAACTTACATAAATCTACGTTTGCCGACCATCTGTCAAGCGTGGCGACTGTTGCGGAGTCCCCCTAGAAGAAGATATTTGGGTAAGGCCAATGTTCTATAATGGAGTTTATAATGCGGAATAACTTAACTTTGCGCATTTTATCTACAGACCAAAACTGAAAAACTTTCGGAAAAGTAATCATCTTTTCATCATCATTACAGTACATCAGAAGTCCACTGCTGAACTTAGGCCTCAGATCCATAAGTCGTCACTGACAACATGCACTGTTTGTACAATCTAGTTTTCAGGTTTTGAGGTATACCAGACGAGAATATGTCGCCTGCTTACTGGTAAAACAAGATAAATGCATTTTGTTACGAAATCGAGTTAAAAATGCAGTAACATGTAATTTTTTACGCGCTATCTGGTGGTAAAACCGAATAAATGCAGAGTCCAATGACTGCAAAGATAAAGAGATTGTGAAAGTGATATCTTCACACATTTTGGAAAAAATATACCAGTATAACATAATAAATAATCTTATGGCTTCTATTCGTTTCAGTTTATACAATGTTTAATTGACAATAAATACGGTTAAAGCTTTACACGTTATAATTTAAATAGTAAAATGGTAAGAATTTTTCTGTGAAAAGGTCATAAAAGCATTTATTATTATGAACCATATAATTTAAATACCATAACTATAATAAAGATATTTATTCCATTTTACCAATTAAATAATGCTACTTGGTTTGCTAATGTATCTGCAACAAAAACGAAATAAATGTCATTTATGCTTTTTTACCTGTAGGAACAAGAGCGATCGATCGCAGTTGTAACATTGCGTGCGCGCGTGCTCCACGTGCTCAGCGTAGAAATAAAAGTTTTAATAGCTCAATAGTTTAGTAAGAAGTTGTGTTTTATTATAATTATGGAATCCAGAGGAAAAAGATTAGTGTCTATGATAAATAAACCTAAAATACGTAAAGGTGAGTGATTTAAACTCTAAATTTTATATAACAAGGATAAATTTTAAGGTTATATTAGTAGCTTTTAGTTTTGTTCAATGATTTCCTAATGGAATGTTTGCTCGTACTCGTATAGTGTTTTTAGTACGTACATAGCTTTTTTACAATGTATGTAGGTTCGTACAAAGTTTGTATGATTTCTAACTCCATTTTTAAGGTTACGATTATGCTAGACTTTGTTTGTTTCAAAAATGTACGTAATTCTTGTTTTAAGTAATTACTTGAGTGGGTATATGGCTCCGTAACACTTATGTCGGTACCTACAAAGTTTCTATTATACTCACTTTCTTTCCATTAACACAGAACGATGAGTTGAATATACTATTGTCAAGGTTAAGCGCACGATTCATTGTTTGCTTACATTATAATCTTATAATCATCTACTTTTGTTTCTTTTTAATTTTTTCACAGATGACTTGGATGAAGAGCCTGGCCCTTTGCATCAAAGGTTTTGTAGCCCGTCTTCGAACTGTACTTCGGCTTTGAGCGACTCTAGGGAGAGAATAGTGGCGGAAATGGAGCGCATGTTTGACAGCGATGACTCTGATAAAGATCCCACTTATAACCCGGATCCAAGCTTTTTAATACAACCAGAGGATTTATTTGGAGAACAATGGGCGAATAACAAGGTTGAGAACTTAGAAAATGTTATGCAATTCTATGGAGACGATCATGACGAAGAATTTCAACCTAACGACGGCGACGTTATGATCGCACAGGTGTTGCCAACATCTGATGCACAACAAGTCGTAATATCTCTTTGGGGACTCTTATTGAAAGGAGTATTCGATGCTACTCGGAAAAGGAAACGTTGGATGAAACCAGAACCTGAAAATTGGAAAGTAAATATCGCGAAGAAAAGACGATCTGAAGGTTTAACTTATTCAACGAGAAAAAAAGATAGGAGTGCTAAAACAACGAAAAGAGGTTGACTGTGAGAAATGTTTATATAAATGTAGTGTGATCTCTCCAGAAGAAAGAAATAATTTACGTCGTCACTACTGGAGTTTGAGGTATACCGAGCAAAAGAATTTCATTCTCGGTAATGTGGAAGTAGATACTCCGAAGAGAATTCTTGCTATTCGTGGACCAAAGAAACAGCGTCAATTCACAAAAAGATGTTTCTTTTTTCACAACGGAGAGAAGAAGCAGGTATGTCAGAAGTTTTTTTGTTACACGCTAGCTATTTCTCCGACTGTTGTGAATGATGCTATTCGAAAGCGGAATGATATGGGGCTATACAAGGATAGTGACAAGAGAGGTAAACATGAACCCCCTAATAAGACTAATGAAGCTGATGTAAACTTTGTGAAAAAACACATAGAGTCCTTCCCTGTCATGGAACCACACTACATAAGGCAAACTTCTAAGCGTCGTTATCTGGATGCTTCGTTATCCATCACAAAAATGCATCAACTTTATAAAGACAAGTGCACTGAAAATAATATGATTCCGGTATCTGAAATAACGTACAGAAGAATATTTTGTACCCATTACAATTTTAGTTTTTTTGTTCCAAAAAAAGGATCAATGTTTAATATGCTCCAATTTCAACAAAGCTAGTGACGATGAAAAACTAGTGTTGAAAGAGGAATACAAGGATCATTTAGCAAGGAAAGCGTCCTGTTACTCGGAAAAAGCGAAGGACAAAGAAAGAGCAGAGAAAGATAAAGAGTTTCGCTGTGTAACAATCGACTTACAAGCTGTGTTACAGATACCTTCTGGACTGGTGGGACAGCTTTATTATTATCGAAAACTATGTGTTACAATACACAATCTCTGTATATACGAAGTAGCGCTGCCAAACGACGCATATTGTTTTGCTTGGTCCGAAATTAATGGGAAACGAGGCAGTTCCGAAATAGGAAGTATCCTGTACCACTACCTTTCCACGTGCGTTCCTTCTCATGTAACCGAAGTTTGTCTGTATTCTGATACGTGTGGAGGACAAAACCGGAACCAATATGTTGCTGCATTACTTATATTTGCAGTCCAAAACATTTCTCACTTACAAAAAATTGAACATAAGATTCTTGAATCAGGACACAGTTACATGGAGGTGACAGCATGCACAGCAGTATTGAGTCAGCAAAGAAAAATTCTGAGGTTTACTGCATGCCTGATTATTTATCAATTTTCAAACGAGCAAGATCGAAAAAAACAATAACTGTTGAAGGTAATTCGTTCATTAAAACGCCCTACAAAACGAAAGAATTTAAATACAACGAATTTTACGATTTAAAAAAATTAGCTGATGAAACTGTTTTCAATCGCTCAAAGGATAATAATGGAAATCAAGTGAAGTGGCTCAAAATAAAGTGAATACGGTATCTTCAGGAAGAGAGCTCCAAAATTTATTTTAATTATGACATGTCTGAAACGTTCTTATACATCGATGTCGATGTCTTATACGTCGATGCAAAAAATACGGAACCTTCTCAACATCTCAGTACTAGAGCTAAAAAACGCAAAGAAACCACTACGCCTCAGACTATTGTCTTAAAACAACTTTACTTGAACCCTTTACCCATAAGTGAAGCTAAAAAGAGAGATCTTCTTAGTTTATGTACTAAAAAAATAATTCCTGAGGAATACCATGGTTGGTACTCTTCTCTACCAACTGCAACCAATCAAGCAGATCGTTTACCTGAACCTTCGATTGACGAAGAGTCATCAGAAGATTAAGATCCTTAATGGAATTAAAAGCAGTTTACCTAAAAGGATTCGTTTTAATTAATTGACTTTTATTGTTCTTCATCGGTGATCGGAGATTGATTGGAATAACTATGTCAGTTAAGGAATAAAATTGGTTGATTATTAAAAAATCGTTTTATTTATTATCGTTTCATAAATTACCTATGTAAAAATTAATTTCTTTTTATTTAATTGATCACATTTGTATAATGTTGTACCTAATAAGTGACATAATTACACTAAAATTCTACAGGCAAAACAAGTTAAAAGTATCAAAATTATCATTATTTAAGCGAATTTTCAAAAAAAAAATCTTTCCTATCAAGTTATTGGTGTAAAATACAATAAGCCATTATACAAAACTGAAATGAGCTTTTAAAGTCAATGAATTCAGAAGATATATCACGTTTGTCAAGTACAGGTAAAACGTATTAAATGCGGTCCTCTTTCGATCTTAATTAAATTTTATACAATTTTTACTAATATTAAGTGTTAAATAAGAGTATATTTTAAAAGAAGGGTTGTTAGTGCAAAATTATGCTTAAACAATTTTTTTATTCATGAGTTTGAAATAGATCAAATTAAAACTTAAACTTTGAAAATGACTTTACTCAAATTAACACTAACTGCACTTATTACTTTTTAACCGTAAGCAGACGTTGGTGGCGTAATTTCCCGAACGCTGCCCAGCCGAGTTGAATCCATCGATTGAACTTTAGGTCGAAGTTGGACTCACCTAGTCGGATTATTTGTCCCAGGTAAATGTACTCGTCAACAACTTTGAGCTTAGTGCTCCCAAAAACTATCGGCATAGGTGTGACATGGACATTAAACATGATCCTTGTTTTGTCGATGTTCATCTTAAGTCCTCCAGCTATTCTGCCATTAGGACTATATCGTCGGCAAATCGAAAGTGAGTGATGTACTCGCCATTGATGTTAATACCGTATCGTTTCCAGTTTAGTAGCTTGAAAACGTCTTCCAATGCAGCAATGACGAGTTTCTAGGATATAACGTTATCGTGTATTACACCTCTCTGCAGTAGGATAGGTTTCGTACTCTTGTTCTGTACTCGGATAGCCATCGTAGCCCTCCTACTGTACAAATACTTCAGCATTTCGATATGCGTGAGTGAAAGTAAGGGTAGATACAAGAATAGGTTATATGCGCCAGCAAATCGTCTAAAAGTTACAAAAAGAAATGCTTCTGCAATGTCGATTAGAATTTATAATAAATTACCTGATAATTTAAAGCGTAAAAGTTTATTGTCATTTAAGAAATCTGTTTTGGCATTGTTGCTCCGTAAATGTTATTATTCTGTAGAAGAGTTCTTAAACGACAACAACTCACATACGAGTAATAATGAATGATAATTTTAGAATAGGATTAATTACGTAATTACAAGATTCTGATATTTAAAAAAAATAATGTTTTTGATATTATTTTATATAAAATTTGACTTATGTATCTAATTAATTAATAAATTTGATGTAAAAATAGAAAGATATTAATGACAATTGGATATGTAACATATAAAATATTCGTAAAAATAATAATTAATATATGACACTGACCTATAATAATAATCTTACTTGATATAATAATACTTACTTATTGATTTCTTAAATTTACGCGAACACTACACACAAGTAGTGTACAAGCTAGATTGTGAATGTGGTCTCTCTAACATAGGTCAAACAAAGAGATCTATAAAAACCCGCGTGAAGGAACATATAGCTGATGTGAAGCACCGACGCTCCGGGAAGTCTGCAGTCTGCGAACATGTTCAAGATCGTCCCCACCATTACATTAGATTTGATAAACCACAAATTCTCGCAAAAAGAACACCGATTCCTACCAAGGATGATACGCGAGGCTATTGAAATTAAAAAACATCCAAATTTCAATAGAGAAGATGGTTGGGTGCTACCATCTGCTTGGGATCCTATAATCAACAAAATTAAACCCAAACCCAAGCATACCACTGCAAGACTTCATGATACTATAAGCTCGTTTTGCGTAAATCGGACCAAAAATTAATATTAAAAAACTGAAGGTAGCCGGACTAACTATGACATTGGGACGTCAAACATCTCAGTCCCCCCCGTGACCATGGGCGCTGTAAAGCACCCGAAACGTCGGGATAATAATAAAAATAAATTAAAGTAATTAAACGCGATAAAATCCGTAAATAATAGTTTTATTCAATGTGTAGTGTTCGCGTAAATTTAAGAAATCATTATGTGAACCAGTACGGACTGGTAATAGCAAATAAAATTCGCCGACTAGAAGATCTTAAAACCAAGCGCGCAAGATATATAACATCTTTAAATTTCTTGAAGAGATCCAGAGACCATAATCTCATTCCTACGTGTGTCAAAATATCAACAAAGAAGGACATTCGAGGAAGCGCTAAGATCTTAAATCAGGCAAGTAAAAAGTTGTTACGGACGGTGATTCAGCAGAAACGGTTCGATTTACATTTCATAAACAACACCATAGACAATTTGTCCAGTGAACTAAAGACAATTTTAACGACATTTGATTTTAATAATTGCATCGAAACTTTAAACAAACGAGAAACATCAAAATACAATGAATGCAAAAATAAACAAATAGAAAAATACCAAAAATTAACGATCAAATCAAATGCCAAACATCCAAGTCAACGCCAGAACAATAAACAACCGTTGACCATAGACACAAACTATAAACAACGCACTGTCTGTAATTTGTCAAAACATACACTGGACGAACCGACAATGAAAGTATTAGCGAAGGGAATGAACTTCGCATTAACTCCGCGAAAAATCCCGTACGAAGAAATTATCTGCAGTGTTGAGGATTGTCTGTTTAAGAATAATATCGGTAAGGAAGATTTGGAGGCCATACGTCAAGATATTTCGTCCTTGTTACGTCGCAGTTCAGTGCCGAAACCAAACCTTCCCAAAGACGAATTTACAGCGCTAAATAACTTACGGAACAGACCAGAATTCACGATTCTCCGCGCGGATAAAGGAAATGCTACGGTAGTAATGGACACGTCGGAATATAATTTTAAAATACAACAACTTTTATCGGACGAAAGTACATATAAAAAGGTCAAAACAGACCCTACAACTAACACGCTTAAAACAACTAGCGATTTAATAAAGAAATACTCCGAAAAATTAAATCTCGACGTGAATTCGCTAATACCATCATGTGCCAAACCACCGAGGTTGTATGGGTTACCGAAGATACACAAACCAAACGCTCCACTACGTCCCATAGTGAGCCAGATCGATTCACCAACTTATAAGCTGGCACAATACTTAGCAAAAATACTATCACCACTGAGAGGACATACCAGAGCACACACAAAGGATTCATACCATTTTGTGAGTGAGATAAAAGACCTACATCTCGCTAACAATGAAACTATGGTCAGTTTTGATGTTCAGTCACTATTTACATGCCTACCTATTATGGACTGCATCTCAATTGTAACTAGGAAGCTAGAAGAAAATAACATGCCTCAAGAATATGCAATACTACTTGAACATTGCCTCACATCTGGCTATCTATTGTGGAAGGAGGAGTTCTACAAGCAAGTAGATGGTGTGGCGATGGGCTCACCTGTGTCTCCCATAGTCGCCGACATATTCATGGAGGACTTTGAGGAGAAAGCCCTTCTTACTGCTCCTGTAAATCCAAGGTTCTACAAGCGGTACGTAGACGACACTTTCACAATTTTACCATCTGACAAAGTAACTGCATTTTTAGACCACCTTAACTCCATAAACTCTAAAATACAATTCACAATGGAGTTAGAGGCAAATAATTCTTTAGCTTTCCTAGATGTTTTAGTCATCCGAAATCCTGATAACACTATTGGTCACACTGTGTATAGGAAAAAGACCCATACCAACCGATATCTAAATGGTGAATCTCACCATCATCCTTCACAGTTAGCTACCGTGGGTAAATCTTTGTTTCAGAGAGCACGAGGGATCTGTGACAGAAAACATCTGGCCGCGGAGCTTCAGCACGTCAAGCAAGTATTGCAAGACAACAAGCTTCGGGTCCCGCGCCTACGTCACAGTGAACGAGTGAAGCCGGCAACAGTCGAGCGCGCACCTGATCTACTACCATATGTTGGAGGAGTCACGGACAAGATTGGCTACATCTTGAAGCGAGCGTCCATTAAGACATACTACAAGCCGCTGAAGAAGATTAGTCAATTTTTACCATCCATCAAATGTAATATTCCTCTACAAGATGCAGGTGTGTACAAGCTAGATTGTGAATGTGGTCTCTCTTACATAGGTCAAACAAAGAGATCTATAAAAACCCGCGTGAAGGAACATATAGCTGATGTGAAGCACCGACGCTCCGGGAAGTCTGCAGTCTGCGAACATGTTCAAGATCGTCCCCACCATTACATTAGATTTGATAAACCACAAATTCTCGCAAAAGAACACCGATTCCTACCAAGGATGATACGCGAGGCTATTGAAATTAAAAAACATCCAAATTTCAATAGAGAAGATGGTTGGGTGCTACCATCTGCTTGGGATCCTATAATCAACAAAATTAAACCCAAACCCAAGCATACCACTGCAAGACTTCATGATACTATAAGCTCGTTTTGCGTAAATCGGACCAAAAAATTAATATTAAAAAACTGAAGGTAGCCGGACTAACTATGACATTGGGACGTCAAACATCTCAGTCCCCCCGTGACCATGGGCGCTGTAAAGCACCCGAAACGTCGGGATAATAATAAAAATAAATTAAAGTAATTAAACGCGATAAAATCCGTAAATAATAGTTTTATTCAATGTGTAGTGTTCGCGTAAATTTAAGAAATCATTATGTGAACCAGTACGGACTGGTAATAGCAAATAAAATTCGCCGATTAGAAGATCTTAAAACCAAGCGCGCAAGATATATAACATCTTTAAATTTCTTGAAGAGATCCAGATACAATAATCTCATTCCTACGTGTG